TATGTGATGGTATCTGGACCTGGGGCTGAGGCTGATTGTTTGTTTTGAGTGCAGATTTGAGTTCATGTATGTTGATTATTTTATTTATGGGTTTGTCTGTGTGGGGGTTGTGGGGTGTAGGGGGTGGTTTTAATAGTGTTTTGGAAGGTGGATGGGTAGTTGGTGGAGCTGCTTGTAGCCGAGAAGTGGGCAGCAAATGCATTTGCTTTGTCTTTGTTTGTGGGTTGGTCCGGAAAGTTAGGTGAAATGGTTTTTTTGGAAATGCCCTTTATGGCTTTAAATTTATTCCACAAGGTCCGTGGCCTTCGATGAGATTGCCTGAGGGTAGTAAACAGAAATTTCTCCAATGGGTGATTTTGCTGCCTTGATAATTTGTTTGGTTTTGTTACGTAGTTGTTTAGCTAAATGTAATTTTGAGCGGTCCCTTTTGATTGATTTAGGGCCTTTTTTCTAGCCTTTCTGGCGTTTATAATTTCATGGCTCCACCACGGGACTGTTTTTTGTGCTGGGTTGGGCCGAAAAGTAAGGATGCATTTGTCTGTGATATTTAGAATTATGTTTGTAAGATTGCTGTTAAATGTGTTTATGTCGGGGCTGTAGATGGTTGAGGTATTAACTTGCTTGCATAATGTTTTGAATTTTTTCCCAGTCTGCTTTTTAATGTTGTATCTGGTTTCTGTGGGTATGGGTGGGGGAGTGGTGGTTGCACGGGTGGGAATGTGTGAGGTAATGGTGATTTTGATGGGGCAGTGGTCGCTGCCCCAGGTGTCGGTGTGTACCTCCCAGATACAAGCTTGTGTTAGGTTAGGGGTGGTGAATGTGAGGTCTATGGCTGTGGGTGTTTGAAGGTGCACGGGAGAGGGGGTAACGGGTGGGTTGATTGTCATTTAGGCAAGTTAGGGAATGTTGGTCTAGCCAGTCGGTGAGGCGGGTACCGTTAATATCAGTGTGGGGTCTTGTGCCCCACAGTGGGTGATGTGCGTTAAAGTCTCCGAGTAAAATGGTGCTGGGAGCTATGAATTTAGACAATATTTCCAAATCTTGGGGGGTGATTTTGATAGTAGGGCTTCTGTAGACGTTAATAATTGTGATTTCTTTGTTATTTAGTTTAGTGTTGATAGCCAGGACTTCTAGGTTGGTTACGGGAATTTGCGATGTAAATGCCCACCCCCCCCCCGCCAGGGGGGCCTGGGTAATTATGTGGCCGAGGTCTATCTTTCCGAATGAAATTGTACCCTGGTATTTTGAAGGCGTTTTTTGGTGATAATCTAGTTTCTTGAAGAGCTATAATGTCGGGGGCAATTTTGTTATGGGCGATGAGTGCCTTGAGCTCATGCCCATGCGCTCGGAGACTGTTGCAGTTCCACTGTATAAGTGCCATGGTTGCTGTAATTTGGAAGAGGAGTGTAATAAATGCCATGGCGTGGGGCATGAATATGGAAAAAGGTAGATTTGGTGCTTTAGTAGTTTAGTGGTTGGTGTTTAAAAGGGGTTTTTGATGGCGATGAGAAGACTGGCTAGACTTTTGCGGTAGAGTTTAGATTTGTGTGCGAGAGTGTGTAGTTTTTTTGCTGTGGGTTTGTCCATGAGTGTGGCCATAATGACAAATTCCACTAATTTGTTTAGATTTTGGCTGAGTTTTGTGGTGTGAGTGTTAGTGTGGGATTGTGGGCTGGTGGTGGGTTTTATTAAGTGGGGGGTGTGTGTTTTGTTTGTGGGTAGGAGGTTGGTGGCTTGTGTTGGGAGGAGCTTGGGGTGGGGGAGGGCTGGTGGGTTTGGATGGGGGTGCAGTTTTGGGGCGTGTTTGTTTGGGTGGGGCAGCTGGGATGGGTGTGGGTAGGAGGGCTGTTTGGGTGGAGGGTGTTTTGGCGGATTGGGGTGGGTGTGGTTTGGGTGGGCTGGTGGAGCGTGGGGTTTGGTGGTTGGTTGGGGGCGGTGTTTGTTGGGTTTAGGTGAAGGTGGGGGTGAGTAGAGCGATGAGTTGGGGGTAGAGGAAGTGTAGGGCGAAGATGAGGTAGCTGAGAGGAGGGAGTGGTATGCGAGTAGTGGGCGTGCAGGTTTGGGCAGGTCGGTGTTTTTAATATGTTTGTTTAGCCTGAGTATGTGTTTTTGTTTAATGGGACATGTGTTTTGTGTAGCGGTGTGGCCGGTTGTGTTGCAGTGAATGCAATATTTTGGTTGGCGACATTCGTCTATTGTATGAGTGTCCGACCCGCACTTGGGGCATAGCATGGGGAGTTTACAAGCGTCGGATATGTGTTTGTATGAAAAGCAGTATTTACATTGTTGTGGGTTTTTCCGTGTAGGGTGAACTTTGTAGGTGAGGGCGCCGAATGTAATGTGGATTGGGAGAGTTGTGGTGTCGAACGTGAGAAAGGTTGTTTGTGTGTTAGGATTGTAGGTGGTGGGTTGTCTGTTATTGATGGCTCTGAAATTTGTGATTTTAGGTTGGTTGGGGATGGTGTTAGCGATGTCGATGTAGTGTTTGATGTCTGTTTCAGTTTCTCTTGTGTCGATGTATATTACTCCTTGTATAGATGTCTGCCAGCGTGGGTATTGCCAATTTATCTGTTTGCCGTCAATGAGGGTGTGGTTAAGGGTGTGTTTTAATGATTGTTGGTCAGTGAATGTGATTTTAAAGCCTCGTCCGCAATTGTTTATGTATTTGTATTTAATTTTGTGTTGTTGGAGGCAAAGGGCGAATTTGTTAATGGAGTATGTGTGATTGAGCGGCGTGAGTGTTGGTGGCGAAGGCTAATAGTATGAGCTTGGGTTCTTGGGCTTTGGGTGGGTGGCTTGGTCGCATGTTTTTGTTAGGTTGTGTGATTTCAGAGGGAGAGATGTGTGGGCGTTTAGTGGATTTGGTTTGGTGCTTGAGGGTTGTGGCGCTGGGGGTGGTGGTTTGATGGTTGTTGAGTTTGGAGAAGGGAATCAATATCGATACCAAAAATTGATGGGGATGGGGTCGATTTGGTTTGGGGAGGTAAGGGGTGGGAAGTCTTTGGTGGAGTAGAGAATAGCGAGGCCGAGGGGGCTGGGCAGGCCATGGTGTGATGAGGGGGGGCGGGGAGGGGAGAGTGGGCTGGGGTAAAATATACAATACACAAATGATAATACAAACAAATTTAAGAAAGAGAGCATATATACAAATGAAATGAAAGAAAGGGTATGATATAGTAGCGAGCTACAGTTTGAGTGATTTTTTTTTAGTCAAAGTTTTTAGCACAAGTAACACTTGCGTGTATTCCAGACCCCGGGGGGCCACGGTGCGGCGACCAGCAGGGAGAGTTGGGTTGGTTTGTGGTCAGTCGGCTGGTGTCGGTAGAGAGGAGGAGGATAGATAAGGCGAAGCCAGCTTTGTGGTGTGAGTTAGAGCGATTGTACAGGTTTGAGACATCCATATATAGTTTAAGCCAGAACATTGCAAGATTGTTTTAACAACATTGATAAGAGGTAAATATATGTTTGGGTCATTCGTTTTCATTGTAAACATGATCCGATATAAAATACTAGACAATGTGCTAGTTGATGAGATTAGTTTGCACCAATATGAAATGATTCTAACCTTTATAAGTATATCTGTTGGATATCTTCCCAGTTCACCATATATCATAAAATCTGGTGTTGATTGCTTAACTTTTAATATATATTTACAAAATTTTAAATGAACCCTTTCTAAGATAGTGCTCTTCTCAAAGCCCCAGACTTCTGAGCCGTATAACAAAATCGGCTGCACAAGGTTATCGAACAGTTTAAGTTGACAATCAATGGGAATATCTAACAAACGTAATTTTCTAAAAATCGCATACATTGCTCTTGAGGCTTGTTCGACAATTCTCTTATGAGCTTTACAGAATCTACCAGTGCGAGTGAATAAAATACCAAGATATAATATTATGAGACCGATTCAATATTTTGCTGTTGTAGCTTGAACACATGGTGTATTTTGTCAGGCCTCCTCCCAAAAATTATTTTCTTAGTTTTAGAAAGATTTACAGTTAATTTCCATCTTTTACAATACTCATCAAATAAAAATAAACATTTGCTTAGGTCAGTAGGGTTTTCTGCGAATGAAACTGTGTCATCTGCATAGAGTAACAAAAGAAGTTTTAACTAGATACCGAGATCATGTTGAATGTTACTATTCAAATGTTCAAGGCCATTAAAATTATTGGTTAATAAATACTCTTCCAGGTCATTTAGGTATAATGCAAAGAGAAATGGGGAGAGATTTTCGCCTTGTTTAACACCAGAACAACAATGAAAATAATCACTGGTATTACCATTGTATGAAACACATGACTTAATACATTTGTACATGTTACGTATGACGAGGAAACATTTACCTGAAATATCATATTTAATCATCTTACTCCATAAACCGGAGCGCCACACAGTATCAAAAGCTTTACTAAAATCAACGAAACAACAATACAATTTCTTATTTTGGCTAAGATAAATATCAATTACAGATTTTAAAACGATCATATTGTCAATAGTTGAGTAACCCTTTCTAAACCCCGATTGCGCTTCACTTATCAGGCTGACCTTATCAGAGTACGCTTGTAGTCTCTTACTCAATACGGAAGTGAACAGCTTACCCAAGCAGCTTAATATTGAGATTCCCCGGTAATTACTGGGGTCAGCTTTGTTCCCGTTGTTCTTATAAATTGGTCTTATCCTACCCGTAAGCCACGATTCAGGCATTACGCCATACTCTAAAATGACATTAAATAACTTTACATAAAGAGGAAGCAGTGTATTGATCGTACCCGACTCCTCCCCACCCACACCACGTTCATTACTACTTTCTGCTAATTGCAGTCCTTTGTTGGATTCCGATTACACTGAGAGCATGGGTTTGTGAATCACTGCCAAATATCAATGATGGCTAACAGTGATGTAAACGGCTACATATTCACCATCCCAGGAGATACATCTCCGACTTGTATTATCAACATGCACTCCCGACATAACAATACAGATTGTTATCAGTAGGGATGGTTGACAAGCATGCGAATTTAAGACAAGCTCGGACAATCCAGGTAAGTAAATTCCACTTGTAATCCTCAACGGATCAAACAGTGATTAATCCCTATTGATTAACAAACAGACTCTTCTCACAATAAACCCCCAACGATCAATTTCCCATTAGCCCGCTACAAATTACATGTTTGTTCTTCAAAGTTTTGTGCCCAAAGTGTATTTACGGCAACACATATATTTATCTATTGGTACAGGACAACAAGAAATAGTTGTTTTCGAACGGTGACAAGACGAGGTCGCTCTGACCGTATCAAAATTGAGGTACTCGTGTCCACGTGATAAGGATCCCGTTATGTTTACGTTGTCGCTCGTCAAACACATCAGTGGAACATGAGACAGACAAAACAGTCGATGTCCTGCTGTTCTCAATCGTCATTAACGAGCTTACGAACGGTCTACCAACGCTGGATTCTCCCACGGCCACCTTAAGAAGGCTGAACGAAATGGTTAAAAAATTGTTCGTACGGCGTTCGCATCCGTTCGTAAGAGTATTTGTGACCAAAGCTTAGACAACACAACAGACCAGAGAGGGGCAATTATATTGTACTTGACTTTGAAGAACGGTGAATGCACGCAGCAGGTCACAACTAGGGGAAGATGTTGATTGAGTAAACTGTTGGCTTGTCCGATCCCCCGAAATGATTTTTAACTTTTAATTGGCTTCAGAATGGATTATTTGCATCCTTTATCAGCCGTGGTCGCTTAAGTTTTATTAAATGGGAAATTCAACAATTCCAGCTTACAGTGTAATTGAAACAGCATTACTGATGAATATCAAAAAGCGGTTATAGTGTTGGGTTTTTTTTGTATTTGTTGCGATGTTGTTTGGCTACTGCTGCTGCTCTGTTGTTGTTGTTGTTGCTGCTGCTGCTGCTGTTGATGATGATGATGATGATGATGACGACTATAATGATGATGGTGGTAGTGATGGTGATGACAACGTACGAAGACTGCGCACCAATCTATAGAAATAATAATATTTTTGTTTTGATAAACGTTGTTTTAATTACTTGTTTGAGTGGCATATTTAGAAGTTGAGATCGTACATATATGGAACACGTTTTTATGGATAACAATTATTTTTTAGTGCGACGTTTCGATACAGATTTTGTACCGTTGTCAAGCAAGACAACGGTACAAGAATCTGTATCGAAACGTCGCACTCACGAAATAAAGAAGTTGTTATCCATAAAAACGTGTTCCATGTTGTTTTAATTATTTTGAAAGAAACATATGATTTGATCAAAATATATGTACCTTTGTGCCAGTGTGTGGTGACTATATTCTGACTATAGCAAAGTATGTATTTGGTATATAATGATTAAGCTATATAGTTGGTTTGTTGCAAAAGTTTCCACGCTAAAAATGTAATGTGAAATCAAAAAGTTACACGAATGCCTGTCTGTTTTACAAATCGTTGAATATCTGTGGGATTGGGAAAGGTTCACAAGTTCGTCTTGTTTATCGCCCGCTATATCAAGGTGGGCTTAACTAACCGTTCCATGACCCCAAGCCAGTGATTAATAGCATGAGCACCAAGTCCACGCAAACAGCCACGTCACCGATCCTGGCCACCCAGAGGCGACTTTATGACTTGGTTGGTAAACGTCATGACGTAGATCGATGCTCATGATGTCAGTCACTGGATTGTCAGGTCCACACTACATTATTTTAAGAACATTTTAAGTCTAGTTTCATAGGCTATTTATATATACTGACTAAGAAAAGAAACTAAACATCGGAAATCGATCAAGATTTTCTTCTTTTTTTTTACTTGTTTGGTAACGAATTCATATTTACCTTGAAGTTACTGAAAACCATTGTCAGTGGAATATTGCTGAAGGCAAACTAAACCAACTAAAATCAGTTTCGGAATCTCTACGGATCTTAGTGTCTACTACCGCTCTTACTTGATATATGGATATGAAGTTATTGCTCTAAATGTTTTAGGATGGCAGTGTAAACGTTTCAAAGGTTTTGAGCGTAAACTATACAAAACCAACGTAACTTTGTAAAACAAAATTTAAGCAGACTTAATTCAAGATGGCCGTCAACAACTTGCAACAAGACAGGACAAGACTTCTTAGCAATACCTTGCTTAGTTTACTGATGAAGCTTCGTGAATTTACCTTCATCAAGAATGTATGCAGTCTTGGCGTGACATGGGACATCAAGTATCGTTGATTTATTGATCTTATGGATAATTGTATATACTGGACTGTCGTCAGTTTAAGTGATTCGGAGTGTTAATGAGTGAGTGAGTTTAGTTTTACGCAACGTTTAGCAATATTCCAGCAATATTACATTGGGGGACACCAGAAATGGGCTTCACACATTCTACCCATGTGGGGAATCAAACCCGTTCCTTCAGCGTGACGACAAACGCATTAACCACTAGGCTACCCCACCGCCCCCAGAGTGTTAATTACTAATATAAGACACAAAGTGTCGGCAAGAACCAGCGGGAGCCTTCAGCTGACAATCTCCGTGTTTTCAATGTCGAGTAGGTTTCGAGCCTTATTTCTACATATATTATTTGGTTTTGTTGCCATAGCAACAGGGTTCACTAGGTGAGTATGTTAGGTATTAATTGAACCTTCACGCCTGATGTCGTCGTCCTCATTTCAGACTTTGTAATATGGGTACGTACCTCCCACAGGCTGAATAACAAGAGACAGTAATGACTTAAAACGTCTATACTTCTTTACAAAGTGGTTTCGATCAATAACGCTTATAACATAACATGAGAACGTATGTATGCGTTCGAAGACACCATCTGTCTTGTTCGGCGAATTTGTTGTCTGGTGCATAGAGCGTTTGTCTGTTGTGCGGAAGGCCAGTTCGATCCTTCGATCAAGACGGTACTTTAGGCAAGCTATCTCTCAGTACTATTTAACCGATATGAATGCTACAACGACGATGATGATGATGATGATGATGATGAACATCATCATCACCATCGTCGTCGTCGTTACATTAGACTTATGCTATTCATGTCATTATAATCATCGACATCGTCGTTGTCGTATTTTATTGTGTAAATTAGTATTATTCCATATTATAATGTCTCCATTATGCCCGGACTGTCGACAACAAGAAATTATCCATCCAAATTACTTGTCGACAGTCCGGGAAAAGGGAGGTGATGTTCTACATGAGTGACTTCACTCCCAGTGTTCTCGAAATTAACAAACCAATTAAAACAGAGTGTGATATATATAGTAGACAATATATTTATTTACTCAATATAACAACATGCATGTATCATATGTCACACAATATAACATATTTGTATATATATTTCATAAAGCTCACACAATATATTTGTGTGTGTGTTTTATATAAATAAGTGTTTTCTGCAGGTGTATAAGTAATAAATATATAAAAGATGAGTCCAGTTATTTCTTCTTGCCAAAACTCCTTTATATCTGCACTAAAGTAATCTGAATGTTCAGCCAAGATGAAGCAACTCTGACACATGGTCTGTGTAATGCAAGTCAGTAAGTCTGTCGGCAAGAAGGTCCAGCGTCGATGATTCGGTAGCGACGTCTACGGACGGGATATCTCTGCTGTCCTTGGATCTGCTGAATTTTAACTTCAGTAGATGACTGTTCTTTTTGTAGCATATATATACCCAAATGCTAAATGTTTACAACAGCATTTCGATAATCCTTCTACTCCCAATATCACAAAATAATTTGTAAGCTCTCTGTTTCTTTCCGGATGTTGTTGCATGTTAAACTCCAAAATGGTAATCCTTCCACTCGCATAACGTAAAATAATAGTCTGTTTGCAACCTTAATTCTCTTGCAAATTGTTAAAAAGACATTCTCTTTAATCAACTTAATTCATTTACTCATGATACGAGCATAGCTGTAGCCGCCATAGCCACTTGCAAACCACTAAGCAAACATTCTCTTTCATTAATTAACACCGTCACAGTATGTTGACCACGCGATGTCGACACTCCGGTTTGTTTGCTTTGTCGACGGTTAGGAACATCCTATTTTTCATTTGTCAACAGATCGGGCTGACACCCCATGATCATCGCCGTTGTCGTATTTTATTATGTAAATTAGTGTTATTCCATATTATAATGTCTCCATGATCATCGTCGTTGTCGTATTTTATTATGTAAATTAGTGTTATTCCATATTATAATGTCTCCATAATCATCGCCGTTGTCGTATTTTATTATGTAAATTAGCTGGCACCCATGACGTAACTAGAATACAGTTAAAAGCGGCGTTAAACCCAACTGTCAATATGACAACGACGATGATCACTGGTGTCAGCTTGATGTGGAAGGGTAGTCCGATATGAAGCAGGCCTCAGACGTGAGGTATAGTACTGACAAAGAAGCAACTTCTGGGCTTATTCAAACTAAAGACCATAGGTATGAGATACTTGGCAAAATCTATATGCGCAAGATAAAATCTAACTTTTCGTCGTATATGTAGATCTCTGTATGGTAGAAGTCAAGGAAAAATATAATGAGCTGTAAAAAAACAACAATAAATCCGGCTTGATTTTCAATCATAATGCCATAATAATGGGCCATTTCTAAGCAAGATGTTTAGATGGATATACGCACCATGCAGTGAACTTTCCGACAGAACTGCTAATTTTGCAGTTTTACTTCTTTGGTTAAACGGTGAAGCAAATTGTGCTAAGGTACTGTCGTTTGGCCACTTAATGATTCTAAAGCAATAGCTATTTCTTACAAGTGGGGGACCATTTGCTAGGAAGAACAGCCATGTGTGCGAGTTGTACCTGTGAAATTGAAATTTTACTGCACACAGGTGTTGATTACCTGGCTGTTCTACCAGCAAGTCCCCCCCCCCCCCGTAAGAAATAGCGAAAAGTGACAACAACTTTATTATTCGGGTGCCTAAAATTATTAGACAAATCATCAGAGTTTGTCTGTTGATTTCATGTGACTGTGCAAAGTTTGGCTTTGTTGCCACTATTAGATTTTGTGTTAGAGAGCAATTCATCGGTCTCACATGAAATCAAACGGACTTTAGTAGCTGAACTGCCTCTCTAACGACGAAGTGTCTTTTTCCTACAGCTTGATACTGGCAGATTACAGCGTGACCTTTCAATGTTCATCAATCCCATCTGAATTCCAATTCCTTTTTCGGCTGCATATACAATTTACATTCAATTTACAAGTAACCCGCTTCGAAAAGAAAACAGCAAATGGGTTCTGTCATTTAACGACATCACAATACGACTGATGAAAGGTCATTGTCCTAATTTGACTAAATTATATAACCTTTACTTATGACTAGGGTTTCAAGATTAACAGACTTGAAGCGATTGCACGTTTCTGACCTTTGTCAAACACACATCACAGTAAGTATGGATTAAACACGCCAATACTTCCAAGACGGAAGTCTATTTTAGTTTAATACTGGAATAAAAACATGTTTACCATAATTGATTTCTTTTCAGATTTGTGATCTGGTCTTGGTGTAATACCTTCAAAGCCATAAAATATATTAAACGCTGCCAGTCATGTGTTGTGAAGCCTGCGTCGCTTGAACTGAAAGTAGGATAGAGTGTATTGTACAAACGTTTGTATTGATTGTTTGATAGGTATTCTTGAAGACGCATAATTGGGAGGAAGTAGAGCTACATAGCACAATATGAAATCAATATGCAAGAGGGGTTAGGAGCAAAATCAGTAAAAACAAACGCGCAAAGGACATCAACCCAAACAGCCTTGACCTAGAAGAGGATTTCAATCAGATCCAAGGACTCCCAATGGGATCCCCTCTGTCACCCCTGCTTACCCATAACCACCTCCCCGATCATCTTTGTCATCCTCACAAAAGACCAGGAGCCCACCTCACTACTCCAGCACCTCAAAAAACGAACATCCCCGAATCAAGTTCACTATGGAAACATGGAACAACAATATGCTCCCTTTGCTAGATGTCTTTGCATCCGGAGTCTACAGGACACCCACCCACTCCGACCAGTACTTTCATTTCAAACTCCAACCAGCCCCCTAGAACTAAATCTGGTGTCAGCTCAACCCTGACCAAGCATGCGAAGAACATTGGCTCCGGCAGCCATGGCCAAAAACATGATCTAAATCACCTGTAGCATGTCTTCACAAACCTCAACCAGGTTTTAGCAATATTCCAGCAATATCACAGCTGGGGACACCAGTAATGGGCCTCACACACTGTACCCATGTGGGGAATTGAACCCGGGTCTTCGGCGTGACGAGCGAACGCTTTAACCACTAGGCTACCCCACCGCCCCTCCACACCTGAAGAGTGACGTTATGTTTGTCACAACAGATTATAGAGAAAACATTTTATAGAGGCAATCTTGCTTTCGCCCTTCGGCCAGGAGGTTTGTTTTCCCCAAATTGTCCACATCAGTTGAATGGTTGTCTATTTTCTGTTTAAAGATCATGGCCAGTTCCACAAACGTCTATTGCTGAAGTTGGCTTCGTGAACTGGGCTCTTGGCAACCTGTTGAGACAGGTGGCCATACTGAGTCTTATAAATATTTGGTCTTGTGTCCTTCAAATAATCCATTTTAAATTCTTACTTTGATTGGATACATTTCCTTCACTAGAGATACATGATGTTCCTACATCTTCTCACTCAGTGGACCTCATGGGTTTAGTTTTACGCTGCTTTTAGCAACATTCCAGAAATGGATCTTCAGCACCCATGCTTGACGTATGAGGCGACTAACGGGATCCGGAGGTCAGGCTCGCTGACTTGGTTGACACATGTCATCCCAATTGCGTAGATCGATGCTCATGATGTCAATCACTGGGTTGTCAGGCCCAGACCTTACTATGTACAGACTCCTGACATTTTGGACTGTGTCGTCAAACAACACAAAACGCACATATATTTATTTTTTAGTCGAGTGTGTGGCAGGGGTCAAAGAAAGAACAGGATAGAAGTCGGCCTTTTCGCGAACACCTGGTGTCATCACTGATTTTCATAAAAATCCATAAAATATATTTTTGTTATTTTCTTGAATGTATATTGCCTGTATTATATTAGATGTACATCTGGACCCTCAAAAGTGTTTTTCTTCCGTTTCAGACCATTATCGTCGTGTTGGTGCCATTGTTTGCAGTAGCAGGTAGGTCTGACCTTGCGGTCGTTCACCGCCAGCAGTGTAATGGTGTTAAGCCAATAAGTACGACTATTGTGTACGGTGTAATGAAGGTTACCATTCCTTCATTAAGAAACATACATGTTTAATATTTTAACTTTAATGGGTATTCCTAATTGACTTCTGGCGGTCTGTAATTGAGTAAGTGTGTTTCTATGCATAAACAATGAGGATATATTCAATGTCATGCGTAGAGATTCATGGTTTAGTCATGCATAAGGCAGTCTATAGTTCAAGCGCTCGCTCGTCACGCCGAAGACCGAGTTCGATTCCCATAAGGGTTAATGCGTGGAGACCATTTTTGGTGTCCCTCGCCGTGATATTTGCTGGAATATTGCTAAAAGCGGCGTAAAATGTAACTAAACTCATTCACTTCATTACATGAAGGACTGACTGACTGAGTTTGGTTTTACACCACTTTTAGCAATATTCCAGCAACATCACGACGGGGGACACCAGAAATGGGCTTCACACATTGTGCCCATGTGGGGATTCGAACCCGGGTCTTCGGCGTGACGAGCCAACGCTTTAACCATTAGGCTACCCCACCGCCCCTTCACGAAGGAACAAGAAGCAGCCTTAAAATGTAATTAAAATAATAGGAAGGGAATTGTTCGGGAACGTTAAACATCTTAAAAGGAATTTTATACAAATAGTCTAATGAAGTTTTCACAAAGAACCATGACGATCCTATAATTTCGGGGTCTTTTCCAGGACAACCTCTGCCAAGCCAGTACGGGAGGAAGTTCGTCGTCATCTTCACAAAAGGTCTCAACCAAGACGGAGCAACCCTCAAGCTGATGATCGCTGCTGTTACGGACGCCGACGTGACTGTCACCAATTCCTTATACAACATCAACACCACTGTATCCATCCCTGGAGGTCAGTCAAGGACCATTACAGTGACCAAAGATATTGCTCTTGCGGCTTTGCTGGTCATAGAAAAACGTGGCGTCCTTGTTCAAGCGACGACCGACGTTTCTGTGTACGCCTTCAACTTCGGCGGCTACTCCTCCTACTCCTTCAACGTGCTGCCTACAGCTACCTTGGGTACCCGGCACTATCTGGCATCGTTTGGGTACGTCAAGGATGCCGATATACCTACATTCGGTGTAGTAGCTATTGAAAATAATACCGTCGTGTCATTCAAGTTCCGACTCACGTTGGACGGCGACTGTGGTACAATGGACGGCGACGCCCTGAAGGACGGTTACGTTTACAACATCACCCTTGATGAGCATGACGTGTTTGAAGCAAGCTGTACAGGAGATTTCACAGGGACGATGGTATTAAGTAGCAAACCCCTAGGGGTTGTGTCTGGACATCTTGGGAGTTTTGTCCCCGTTAATGTTGGCGGGAGGGACACCTTTGCAGAAATGATCCCCTCGATGGACATGTTTGGGCAAAGGTACGTTCTCCACGGACCAGGTAGAGATAGGGAAGCTGTTTTGCGTATCCTAGCAACAGAAGATGAAACAAACATAACTACCTCCGAAGACACTGTTCACGTTCTGATGGAAGGAACGTTTTGGGAAATAGATCTCAAACTGAACAAAACCCTATGCATATATGCATCCAGCCCTGTAATGGTGTTAATGTATGGAAAGGGGGCTTTAGGGGGACCCAGTAAGTTAGGAGACCCTTTCTAATAGTTGCCCCCGTTGAAAGATTCACGGAGGGTTTCACCACGGACCTTTCGGTTTTCGATGGAACGAATTTCGACACGCATGTGACGGTGGTTACGAAGACCTCCTATGCGAAGACTCTGGCTGGGGATTATGACACCGATGAAGTTCCATCATGTCGGTATTCGGTTGCCAGGGCGCCTGTGACAGCCGGGACTCTGACCATTGGACTTGGACCTGGAATTCCTTACGCCGCATTTCTCTATGCATACTTACATTATGAAGGAAATGGGATGTCCATGGGAACTGCTAGACAACCCAATGGCTGTAAGTATCGTATTTGTCATAAACTTACTACTAAATTTTCTAACATTTAATTCTACCCATGAAGATCCGGGTCAGATTTGATCTTCAGTAATTCAGCTTGTCGTAAGAGGCGACTAACGGGATCGGATGGTCGAGCTCGCTGACTTGGTTGACACGTTGTCTTATCCCAATTGCGGAGATCGATGATCACGGGATTGTCTGGTCCAGACTCGATTATTTACAGACTATTTATAGAGCTGGAATATTGCTGTTTACGGAGTTAACAACAACAGCACTAACATTTAATTCAGTTTTCGCAAGCAATGTTTGCATATTATACAAAACAACATTTCTGTGGATTTGTGCATAATAATCGTAATTATATAACGTCATTGTAAAATAACGCCTAGTTTTCCTCAGAAATTGATTCTACGTCGTAAAGGGCAAACTAGCTGTGAAAATAATATGAACCACTGACACCAGGTGTTCCCGAGTGAGTGAGTTTAATTTTACGCAAACACTCAGCAATATTCCATCTATGTGGCGGCAGTCTGTAAACAACCGAGTCTGCACCAGACAATCCAGTGATCAACATCATCGATCTACGATTTGGGATACGATGACGCGTGTCAACCAAGTCAGTGAGCCTGACACCCGATCCAGTTAGTCGCATCTTGCGACAAGCTTTTGGGTTGCTGAAGATCAATTCTAACCCGGATCTTCACGGGTCAGGTGTTCCCGAAAAAGGGCAAGCATGTCCTGCCCCGCCGGTGGTTACTGGCCGGGAGAGCCACATTTCCGAAACAGATAGCCAAAATTGATGTGGCTCTCCCGGCATTAGTTATGGTTGCGTGAACATGGAATGTGGCTCTCCCGTCTATGCTGTCAAAACATGCTTAGTGATTCAAACAGGTTACCGTATTTAACAAAACAAGACATGTTTCCTCATAAGTTTATTCAGATCACAACAGATTTTATTTCTATAATTAGCACAATATAATATACTATAATATTATCACATTATAGTAAAAAATCTTAATCTGTAAAAACATAATAATAATGATAATAGTTTAGTTTGTTGCCATGTGTACATTTCTTATGAAAACTTTCTGCTGCATTGTGATGCGTGGACGTCCACTTCGTGGTCTATCTACGGTGACCCCAGTCTGTCTGTAGCGCTGAATAAGTCTTATAACCGTGATATGGTGGCATCCGAGGGCGTTGGCAACAGCATTGTATGTCGACCCCATCGGCAACATCCCAATGACTCTTTCCCTTTCTTCCGCTCTTAATCGTGGCATATTTCTCGTGCTTGTGTATCATATCTTGCATTCTAGGCTGAGCCTCTCTTTATACCCTATAGAATCATTCTACACGTGAAATTGATGCAAATACTGCTTGAATACTGCTACGTTTTGGCGATTGCTGTGTGAAAATGTTACTTTGCAAGCAAAAATGTTAACAAAGATCATTTTCGGTGTTCCTAAACACTTTTTCACAATATCAAAGACACGTTGTACTTGTTTTCACTGATACAAATCAACAGAAAATGTTTTAAAAGACTGAAATCATAGGTGATTCTTTTACAATTTTACAAACTCTACAACAGTTCTTTCTTGTTTTAATAATTGAAAAATGGTGACTTTAAATGGTTATTTCTGTCTTTAGTAGAATTTTTTTCAAGCTTTTCTTGGACATCTAAATCACTGTTATTTGGTTATTTCGGCATGGTCGAAAATAGGACAATTTAACTCTTTTGAAAACGACGCAGTTCACCTAAACATGAACGCGTTTGAGAATTTGGTTCGTGATTTGTATAAACCTGTGGTGTTAAGTTTTCTTGTAAACTAAAACCTTCTAACATATTTTCGTTGTTAATTCATAGATGGTAGGACGGTAACGTTTCTTATGGCGTTGGAACAGTCTTTTACCGGTTACGGTAATCCATTAATTAATTAATCTATTGGACATGTGGCTTTACCGGCTACAGCCATGTAATTGAAAAGTGGCTTTCCCGGCCTGACACCCCGCCGGTAGCACTTTTGTGTGCTTCCGACCATAACATAAGCATATGTTTATGACTCGCTATCAATACTATGGAACTAGTTAAAATAGGGAATTGCCTTACCCACGTACTTGTGTCATCAGTATTGATAGCGAGTCATAAACATATGCTTATGTTATGGTCGGAAGCACACAAAAGACTTACTGTGTGTGTGGCGGGTGCTACACATGGCAACAAACAAAACTATCAACAAACAAACAAAGTGGAAATGCCTGCTATATGTCTACCATGCTGTGGTAGCTTTGTTGAGGTCTCAGGGAACCTGATTGATCACGTTTTAATATCTATGAAAGACTTGAAGGACGCTCTTTGTAATCTCCTTGAAGTTGATGCTCTATTGTACTTGGTAAAGCTGTGAAATACATACATCAAAGACTGGGACTGTTTGTACATATATATTGTTTTGTGTTGATTGTAATTTCATTAGTATTTGTCACTGGTCAATTATTCTTGTTAATAATTTATAAGTGCCTTTCTGAGAAGTGGTGTTGTTTTCTGGTCTCCTTTGTTTCAAGACCAGGTGGGGCATGAATGGACGATTGAACTATTATCGGACGTGGCTGTGGTTGGCACAATGAATGGGCCGGACCAAAAACAAATTTATAAACACGCACGCACGCACGCACGCACGAACAAACACTCAAACACATTTTTTCACACCACCCCACACATACACAGTATCACTCACTCTCTCTCTCTCACTCGCCTCGCACGCACGCGCGCCATCAATAATACACACACACACACACACACACCTATGACAGACGGCAAAGAGAATCACACCGATGTAGTCGTTAAGGCTGACAGTAAACCCATGACTCTCTGTGTAATAGTGTATCAACTACTATGGACAATCCGAATAAGTAGCATTTCTGTACGTAATCACGATATGTACAACAAATTTGTATTTTTCTAAATGAATATAGAGAACATGGCACATTTTCAGCCTTGAACATTGGCAAATGATAAACAATTATATTTCAGTGTATTACTGCGTGGGTATGATGGTCTCGTCTTCAGATAGGTAATAGTAATGAAAACACGTAACGGTTACTTTTCAGTGTGGAGCGAGTGCCCAGAGAACCCGTGTCTGAATAACGGGACGTGCACTGACGATATCTTTAATTACACCTGCACCTGTCTACCTGGCTTTACGGGGTCGCTGTGTGAAGGTACGTCACGATTGGGTCGCTGTATGAAGGTACGTCACGATGGGGTCTCTGTGTGAAGGTACGTCACGAAGGGGTCTCTGTGTGAAGGTACGTCACGAAGGGGTCTCTGTGTGAAGGTACGTCACGATGGGGTCTCTGTGTGAAGGTACGTCACGATGGGGTCTGTGTGAAGGTACGTCACGATGGGGTCTCTGTGTGAAGGTACTTCACGAAGGGGTCGCTGTGTGAAGGTACGTCACGATGGGGTCTCTGTGTGAAGGTACGTCACGATGGGGTCTCTGTGTGAAGGTACGTCACGATGGGGTCTCTGTGTGAAGGTACGTCACGATGGGGTCTCTGTGTGAAGGTACGTCACGATGGGGTCTCTGTGTGAAGGTACTTCACGAAGGGGTCGCTGTGTGAAGGTACGTCACGATGGGGTCTCTGTGTGAAGGTACGTCACCGTGAGGTCGCTGTATGAAGGTACGTCACCGTAAGGTCTCTCTATGAAGGTACGTCACGATGGGGTCGCTGTATGAAGGTACGTCACCGTGGGGTCGATGTATGCAGGTACGTCACCGTGAGGTCACTGTGTGAAGGTACGTCACGATGGGGTCGCTTTATGAAGGTACGTCACCGTGGGGTCGCTTACGAAGGTACGTCACCGTGGGGTCACTTATGAAGGTACGTCACCGTGGGGTCGCTGTGTGAAGGTACGTACGTCACTGTGTGAAGGTACGTCACGGTGAGGTCGCTATGTGAAGGTACGTCACGATGGGGTCGCTGTGTGAAGGTACGTACGGGGAGGTCGCTATTTGAAGGTACGTCACGATTGGGTCGCTATGTGAAGGTACGTCAATGTGAGGTCGCTATATATGTGAAGGTACGTCAATGTGGGGTCGCTATGTGAAGGTACGTCAATGTGGGGTCGCTGTGTGAAGGTACGTCGATGTACGTACGGGGAGGTCGCTATGTGAAGGTACGTCACGATGGAGTCTCTGTGTGAAGGTACGTCACGATGTGAGGTCGCTATGTGAAGGTACGTACAGGGAGGTCTCTATGTGAAGGTACGTCACGATGGGGTCTCTGTGTGAAGGTACGTCACGATGGGGTCACGATGTACGGTGAGAGGTCGCTATGTGAAGTACGTCACGATGGGGTCTCTGTGTGAAGGTACGTCACGAGGGAGGTCGCTATGTGAAGGTATGTCTCTATAGGGTCTCTGTGTGAAGGTACGTCACGATGGGGTCGCTGTGTGAAGGTACGTCACTGTGAGGTCGCTATGTGAAGGTACGTACGGGGAGGTTAGAAGGAGGGTGTATGACAGGTGACAAGAGGTCCTGGGTTGGGCGTGGAGATGTGTGAGGGAGGCGAGGGTGTGGTGAAAGGGGATGATGGTGATGGCAAGTGGTGGTGTCTAGGGCTTATAGGGGCCTGATCTTAGCTTTACAGGATGGCTGTGTGTAGATGCACCACATCAAAAGAGAAATGGGTTGGGGACGGTTGCTGAGGTTCAACAACATGTAAAGTTCAGAGGGCCATTCTTGAATTTGACAGTAAAACGGTGGCTTTACTATTATATTAAGTACCATTTTTGTGTACCGTTCTATAACCAGGAACTGCCCAACCTCTTAAATTGACTAAAAGGTAGTTGGGACAATGTTATATGATTCCGCGTAAGTAGAATTTTTAAACATATTAGAGACAAAGGTAGTCTATATTCCTGGTTTTAATTTATTCGAAATATATTTTCAGAATCTCTTGCCGCAACAGTGTCTTCGACAGTCTTCACATCAGTTACACTGGACACGTCATTAGTAACGCCTGAAACGTCATCGTTTACGATTGATACGTCATCACACACGACAGATACCTCATCGGTCGAGATGGATATCTCATCGGTAGTGATACACACTTCATCAGTCACGATGAGTACGTCATCATCAATGACGCATACGTTATCAGTGACGGTGGAAACGTCACCAGTCCTGTTGGAAACGTCATCAATAATGACACAGACGTCATCGGTCTTGTGGGATTCGTCATCTATGTCCTTGGAGATGCTAACGCCATCACCTACCCCGCCAACTACAACCACAACGTCTGGAAACAGCGTCACAACCTACACCACCGACCTTGCAACAATATCAACACCCGCAAGCAGCTTCGAAACTTCAGCAACAAACACTCACTCCACAGCATCTACAACCGGAACCACGTCATCAAACACCGTCGGCTCTACAACACCGGTGCCTACGATGTGTGTATGCAGGTGTTCAGTGAACGTCACAAAGAGGAAATTGAACTTATTAAACAACGTATTCAGTTAGCTCTGTTCATAGACAAACGCGTATTATCGAAGTCAGTAAGACGTTTGGTAAGCGTGCTGGATACCCGAAGGTCTGCTACCTCTATTGGGGCGGCAGGCATCGCCGTCATCGTTTCCATGCTGGGATTCTTTCTCCTGACCGACGTTGTCCAGATCTGGAAGGATCTATTTCACGGACCCTTACGCCGTAACTGAAACCAGGGAGTGTTGAAAACTATTTTTATAAAGGATGGGCCTCATCTTTAGGTCATACATGTATAATCCATGATATGACAATCACAAACACATACCCAAAGAAGCACTGAAACCTGGTATATTTTTATTGCGAAATAACCCTTTCCTGAAAACATAATACATAAGTACCCAACGAATTACTAAACAGCCAAACAATGAGGGATAATAATTATTTTAAAATATTCTTTTATAAAATATTTATAAAAATAATCCCCAAAATACTCATGATCACCAATTTTTTTTGTTCAGTATATTTATTAAATGCACATCTAGTATATAAAAGAATTCATTAATAATGTTTTTCAATAACCAACAACGATTATATAAAAGCACAATACAGTACACTTTTGTGCAATATGTAACGATAGGATGATTCATTTTAAAGACATTAAATTGCTAATAATTTTTCAATATTTTTTCCCTTTATTGAGTTTTAAGAAAATAACTTTAAACATGATGGTGATTGTGTAGATTCGCCTATTTCCCACGCAGGGTTTACCGTTTATAACTTACTCAATAAATACAGCAACAAATGGAAGTTATTTTTATAACAAAATACATCAACAATAATAACTTCACAGATTACTGTAGACGAGACCCGTGATGATTCTGATGAGAACAGGTCTTCAGCAACACATGCTTGTTGTGACCCGTGAAGATCAGGGTTAGAATTGATCTTCAGTAACCCTTGCTTGTCGTTAAGACTAACGGGGTCAGGCTCGCTGACTTGTTTTGACACGTGTCATCGTATTCCAATTACATAGATCGATGCTCATGGTGATGATAACTGGCTTGTTTGGTCCAGACTCGAATATTTACAGACCGCCGCCATATAGCTGGAATATTGGTGTGTGCGGCGTTGATCAACAAACTGTAGATAACAGTTAGAAGTCAAGGCCATCGTTCACAAGCCCCAACCATTCTATTGTCATTTACTCAATAAAACGTTGACCTGTAGAGGCGTTGTCTGTGTGTTTAAGGTTTATGGCAAAAATGCATAGTTGGCCAATCAAATGACCCCACATCACGGCAATTTTGTTTACTTTTTTACACTTCTCTCAAATGGAAGAGCGCAAAGAGCGATAACGTTTAGACATTTGACCATGTTTCAGAATAAATTTACACATGTAATCAATTTACTTCGTACATGTAACATGTAACCTTCTCATACCACCCTTTACTCAATATATACTATTCAACAAAGAAACGCATAACCCACAAATCTGTTGCGAAAATGTTGTATTTTCAAACATGTATAACTCGTCCACAAATAGACTTTAAGAAATGAATTTTTACATCAGTTTAGAAGACGGTAATGTCTATACAACCAAGTGGATAATTTTAGATAACGGAGACGCTGAGCGCGATGGTGACCACATAACATGGTCCCGATGTCGGGTCTCCTGGCTCTCAGTCCAATCTCTCTCAACCTGTTCCGTACAGTGTGACCGGATGTCCTCCGAAGTCCAGGCACCCTGGCTGCTGTGCTCTCACACGTGGCGGTACAAAAACGCGAATGTAGTACCCGGATGTACCGACCTTGGGCTACAGTGATGACTCGAGGTCTGCCTGTACGGGGACGGTCATTTGTTATACCTGTTTTGTAGTAAGGAGCTAGTGATATCGTGCTCAGACTAACATTCAGAAAATTGATAATATCCAGCGTGGATTCTTTCAATGGCGATGTTCCGTGTCGCAGCGTCAAGACTTGGCGTAGTGATTTGACCTTGAAACTCCTTCAAAACTGATGCCATTTCCGAGAGTAATTTGGATTTTTATAGCCAGAGAGTGCATGCTCTTTGCTGCTCAATTTCAACTGGAAGGTGATTTCTGTTTCGTTTTGGCGATGCCTTTCTAATTCTTGTAAGAAATCTCATCAAAATCAACATTTTCAGGTAAAGTCGACTTTTCACTTGTGCAATTGTGTAAAATCATGTTATCAACACTTTTGTTACATATTTTGACGATTGTATAAAAAGAATAGGTAATTATTAGATTTTTTAAAATACAAAACGCCTATGCGTTTCTTTTAGGGATAGTATACCTTTTCAAAACAACCTACCTCTATATTCCGTACACCTCCTTACACACCACGGTATAACGGAAAACATCTGAAAGCGGTGTAAAACCAAACTTACCTTCTTCTGTGGGGATTGTGGTTAGAACTGATCCACCACAGAATGTGCTTGTCGTAAAAGGTGACTTTGTGGATTAGGTGGCCAGTGTCCATGCCTCGGTAGACCACCTGCCATCGTGTTTTATCCCCATTTGATTAACCCGTGGTTTGTCTGATCCAGACTCTATTAACTACTGTCATTAATATACAGCGTTATTTTGGTGAGTGGGGTGTGAATTATCAAACAAATAAAGAAAACTTTTGAACATTTTGACTGGTTTTATCGTCACTCCTTTCCCTTTTGGCCGCACGGATAGTCCATTCGTCAAGGCCACCTCGTCAGAGTTGGTTCGGATCATTTACAGAAATCTATGAACATCAGTTCGAATTCCAAATTTGCTTTGAGCATTGTTTTCTTACAAAAAATATACACATGGAAAACACACCGACTCTGACGTTGAAGTATTACGTTCCATTCTTGATTGCGGGTTTATTCAAATGCACCAACATTTTGTACTAGAGAATCTCTCTGTCGTACTCTGCGACCAGTAATGTCCCCAACAAGATCTATGGGCTTCAAATCTGGACTCCTGCATGCCAAGGTAGAGCTGCTACCGCCTTTGACGTAAGAAATCACCAAAGGCACGTGCACAATGTAGCCTCCTATTGTCGTCCACGAACACTGACCCTGTGTTCATTTTATGGTCAGCGAAATATGGTACAACAACCCTGTCCAGTGATGAACCGTTGTCCATCCAGATTGTGTCTGATGGTCACAAGGTCAAGTTTACAACCATGTGAGTGGCACCCCAACACCATCAGTGAACTCCCCCAAAACGGTACTTGCTCACAGATATTCCGTTGTGCATATGCAGTGTTTCTGCAGCGCCAAATATGAACTCAGTCAGCAACCATGAACAAAACAAACCGACTTTCGTCGGACCAATAGACCTTCTCCATGACAATTAAATTCCAGTGACGTAAAGTTTGACACCGATCTAGTCGTGCTGCTTTGTGCTCTGGGGATAACAATGGTCGTCGGCTTCTATGCCCGACCGATCTTTCGGTTAGTTTGGGACCGACAAACGACGAACTGGAAGTCAGTCTGTTTTTAACACGCCATTTGAACGGATAGAGTCTTGTCTATCCGAGGAGTGTTCTATCCTCCCTATTGGTTGTCACTCGAGGTCGACCTGAAGCAGTGTATGAAATGATGCCCTTCCGACCGCCCCAGACGGGTTAGATTTCTGACGGACGGTCTAAATTTACAGCTAGCCAGCCCGATGATCTGGTAAACATTTTAGGTCCATACATTTGAGTGGATTCATCATATCTTAAAATCTATTTTTCAAATTGAGCGTTACGTTTAGACTTGACTGTTTGAACATTGAACTATCGTATCGCCAGCTCAAAGCACTGCGTTGACATATATTATCACTAAAAAAGCGAATCCTATCGATGGGCGGTGTTCTGCAAAACTCGAAGAACAGCATGTACATTTTAATATTGCCGAAATGCGACACCTATCGATGCATGGAGCTGTACCTTAAATTACCATTGAATTACTTTTACCATTATTTGAGTTATTTTCTTTGGATTGTCTGGTCTTGTTGAACCCAATTTGCGCTGGTAACATTTTGAAGTTACCAGCCCTGATGTCTGGCTCGGTTTGGGGGTTATTTCATACACAGCCTGAAGACTGGGTTGTCTTCAACGTCATAAGTTACTGATGTTTTCTGCCCAATAGCCTCATTGTCGAAAGATGACAGCCAACATCTCCATTCGTGACCCACTCGTTTTATTCCGGGACAAGCCGAATGGCGCTTCTTGGAGGTTACGGAAAGGGGCGAGTGGTGACGAATGCCAACATCTCTTACAATAGCCCTGAATGATATGCCCACATTCCGCATACTAACAACTTGTCATTTTTTAGCAGTTGTCAGTTGAGGAGACCCATATTTGCCTATCAACAACTAAATCAATAAATTTCCAAGTTATCGTGCAGCAGGAACAGCTTCTTGAACCTTGATATGTTCCTCAGTGATGCGTACATGTATTGCATGTAATGCTCTCATTTGAACGTAGCAACTGCATATCTAAAACCGGTGTACGGTGCTTCTGAAGGGCCAAAATAATCATGATTTGAATATACATGGCTATATGGGAAGTAAAAACAGTGTAGTCTGTCTCATAGTCCCTGAACCATATTTATGTTCCCTACAGCCTAGCCCTGCCTCCAATGCTAAAACCCTAAAAGAAGCAAGTCTAGATTTCTTCAGGTTCAGGCTGAATCTATGGCTCCTTTTCAATTTAAATTGGTTTATTTGTGAGTTCGAATCCCGGTTCAACCCGATTATCTTTCCAGTTTCTGTAACACCATATCCATGGTGGGTTTTACCAACGTGAGTGAGTGAGTTTGATTTTACGACGCTTTTAGCAATATTCCAGCAATATCAAGGCGGGAGGCACACCAGAAATGGGATTCAAACACTGTGCCCATGTGTGGAATCGAAACCGAGCCTTCGACGTGACGAGCGAACGCTTTAACCACTAGGCTACCCCACCGCCTAGCGGTAGGCTGTCATGGTAATGACAACGTCTAATATTCATCTGGGTAATAGGACTGGAGTCTTCTCCATGGGTGAGTGAGG